AAGTCCCTGCTATTGTGACACAATCAGATGGGGCTGATGCAGCATCTCCCTCTCCTCAACAGAACGCTTCATCGGCCCCTTTCACGTTCTAGTCTGTTTGGCTCCCCTAAGCTCTAAACGGCCTGTTGGTCTCCTGCCTCCTCCTTTAGCCTCACTAATTCCTAACTTTCAGGTTCAAGGAGACTGGTGGTTACTTGACCTTCCTCCAACTGATTCTAAAAACAAACGATCCCCTACTATGTGCCAGCAAATAGAGGGCACAGTGGATGAGTCGTTTTTGCCCTCTGCCAATCAGCTCATGTGAAAACTAACGATATCAACTAACTAGATACCTTTAATTTGCCAAGCACCACACCAAGTATACTATACACATGATCTTGCTAAATCTTTATAACACAAAGGCAAGAACAGCATGGGCCCCACGGATAGATTAGGGAGAGCAGGCATAGATAGGAGGTGACCAGCCAAAGGTCACATGGCTCACAGGTGTAGAATCCAGGTCAGGGCTGGTGGCCCACCTACAAGTTCTCTCTCCTTCCCTCCCCATGATCTCAGCACTTCCCCTTACCCAGTTCTAGTTCCCCTCCTGACTCTCACCTCTCCCAGCCTGGAAACAGGCCTCCAGTCATCTACCAGGGCTGCCAGAATATATTTAGAGATCACAGCCAAAAGCAATGTCTGTGCTCAGGTCCTCTGGCTGGACTCAACGTAGGGGGAAGGGCAAACCAGTGGAAGCACACCTGGCAAGCAGGAGGGGCACCTGGGCCTACTTGGTGATTGAGTTCCTAGCTATGGACCTGCTCATTGCTATGTATGTTGGGATGAAGAGGGCCATGATGAATCAGGAGGTCCCAGGGTGATGGGACAACTTCTGTTCCTCTCCAGACAGGGGCCTACTGCAGGTCTTTTCTTTCATAGAGAAGCAGAAATTCCCCACATTAGGATCACCCACCATAATGAACACCTGCCTCAGAGGCATGGGATTGGGAAGCAGGGGCTAAAGTACCCTTGGTTTTTATCTGGGTGAGTGTGCACGCCACAGGGAGGGAGGCACCCATCACCTCTTCAAAGGAGAGGAGACATGGGGAGATGGCGGGGAGAGATCTACATGCGCCAGGAGAGATGATGGTGGAGGATCGGCGGGGTGGGGAGAGGACAGAACGCTAATGAGCAGATTTCATAAACCACCGGGAGTGAAAACAAAAACACAGACATGCACGTTGCCCAACTTCGGGGCTGTATGGAAAAGAAGAAGAAAAAAAAAACAATAAAAAATCCACATCTTAATACAAAAATCCTACATGATGTGTTGCGGCATGAAAGTGTTTTCCACTGCATTTTTCCTCTGTGATCTCACACAGCCTACAACGGGTACGCCCAGCATGGTTGGTATTTGATGGTACGCACAGAGCAAACACACACAATTAACCAAAACAAGGGCAGTAAATATTCAAATCACCCCAAACTGGCATCTTGTGGCTTCATATGACCTCTGGAGATAGCCGGCTATGTTGGCTCTGAGAAAGGGGCCCAGTTAGATTTGAAGGAGAGATAACTCAGACAAGAACACAGTTCAAATGGAAGGAACCAGAAGTTTAAAAATATGACTCTTAGCCAGCCCATCCATGGCCTCTGTATACTTAAGGAGCTATTCTGCTGTGAGCAGGGGACAGGGAGGGGACCCACACACCCCAGAGGCCTTTCTTACATGTCATTCACCCTACAGTTACTGTCTGTCTCCTTTCATCCCACCCCTCCCCCTTTTTAATTGTTGGATGAGTTTACAGAGCTGTGTGCCAAAAACAATCAACTCTAGGGAACAGAGTTATACAGAAAAGGGTGTGTCACCAGAGGGAGACGGATATCCAAGGAAACCACCACCTTTTCATAGAGGCCTAGGTGAAGCTCAGTGAGGTAGATGGGATGGGGTGGGGGCAGGGGGGATATATACACTCCTCCCAGAACAAGGCCTCAGAAAAGGCTGGGGTTCTGATGAACTGATAGGGCTGAATACAATGTGGAAGGTCAGACAGTATGTCAAAAGCAGGGCTGTTCGAAGGCTCACACACATGCACGTAGTAATATGCCACTGTGCCAGATCACTGGGCAACAGGCCATAGGGGCTAAGGGCACAAGCTTTCGAGCCAGATTGCCTAGGTATGAATCTAGACTCTGTCACTCCTGAGCTGCGTAACTCTGGAAAAATTCCTTTACCTTCTTTGCGCCTCAGTTTCCTGTCCTAAGATGGAGACGACAACAGTTCCTTCTGAGTGATTAAGTGATTTATTATGTATAACACACTGAGAAAAGTACCCAGCACATAATACGTGCTATAAAACAGTTGATAAATCAAATAAATCAAAAAGCCTACGTGGGGGGGGGGTTCCTAGACTCTGCCACAGTAAAGGAAGTAAATGATAGTTGTGTTCATGTTTACTAAGCACTGTGTCCTCTGGATTTTAAAGCACCAACACATGCAATCATCCCAAGAACTCAAGGAGGTAGATGTTAATCTCAACCCGAGTGTTGAGAAACTAGAACTCAAAGAGGGCTGGGACACACCCAAGGTCACACACACAGGGAACATCTGAACCCAAAGCTGTCGGACATGGGAAGGTTGGGGTTAGGGAAGGAGGAACAGGCTTGCTGGGGGTTCTCTCTAAATGCCTGGGCAAATATAGAGCAAAGAGGCTGGGGGTTGCTTTCCTAAGGTGACAGGAACAGAGAACCCTTCTGTGCCAGTGACTGGGCAGCAGGTCCAGGGAAAGATGGGTAGGCCCGGGTGTCCACATTCCTCAGGAGTTCCTATCCAGTGCTGACCCCAGGAGATCAGTGCTATCCCCTGACTCCTTCCTCTGCCCCGGTGGCATCTTCAGAATCTGGAGATCTCTGGAGGGAAAATGATAAGAGCCATCTGCTACCTCCCTCTCAACAATGGAGGTATGCAACCTGGGAAAGGTCCTACTTCCAAGTCGGATGGAGCCCCACGAACAACCTGAGTTTTCACCTCCTTGAAACTTGGGCAGATTCCTAGGAGGGACAGGGCACAGGCAATGGGGGTGGGGTGGCTAGAGGGGTACAGGCTTCTCCCATTGAAGGCCAGGGCCTGGGGAGGCCCAGCAGGCTGAGCTGGAAGCAGAGGTTCTGTCCTAACCCTGCTTGAAGACCAGGCTTGGTGGCTCAGCCTTTCTGCCATCGACCACCCAAACTCATTCAGATATTTCCTCTCTCACTTGCTTTTTAAAAAAAATTTAATGTTCTCTATAATTCATCCGTCCCAGAAGATAATCGATAGAGCCCGTAATGAAAATCTGAGCCATATTTTATGATCCGCTGCAAGCAGAAAGGGCCACATCAGCAGGTCGGGTTCGGCTCTCCCTATCTGTCTTGCCCACTGCCCCGGGGATTACATCCCCTGTTGGCCCTGCCCATAGCCAGCCCTCAACCCAGAGCTCAGCCCTCAATCATATAAGCAGAGCTACGACCCCAGTATCACCCCAACCAACCCAGCTCACTCAGCCAACCCAGGCAGGCTATTGCCAGGTTTTCCTGGAGTAGCCTCCAACTTGGGGCCCTGGTACCATACCCTGGAACCTCACAGTATCTTTAGTTAAGGCCCTTCTGTGGAAGCCTGAAGTTTTTCACTAGGTGGCATTTCCCATCAAGAAAGACTTCCTGGGGCTGGAGAGATGGCTCAGCAGTTAAGAACATTTGTTGTTCTTGCAGAAGACCCGGGTTCAAATCCCAGCACCCACACAGCAGCTAACAACTGTCCTAACTCCAGTTCAGGGGATCGTACAGCCTCTTCTGTCCCC